CCTGAGTCAACCAAAACCAAAACCAAACTCACTGCCATCAAGTGAGATCTGACTCATAGCGACCCCTCCTTGTGTTTCCGAGGTGGTATCACTAAGGAAGTAGATTGCCCAACCTTCCTTCTGAGGAGTGGCTGGTGGGTTTGAACCGCCAGCCTTCTGGTTAGTAGTCAAGTGCCTTAGGCACCACACCACAAGTACCTTGAAAAACTGATAGTGAACTATTATAAATAATTCTTGTGCTCTTTTACATTATTCAATCTATCAGTGGTACAGGGTATAATTTTATTTGTGGTATAAACGTATGTTTAAAAATATTACTGCTAATTTTATGCTGTGTACAGTACATATGCTTTTATATTTATACTAATAACCCATCTTACCAATCAATCCCCCTGTGGTAGTTATTTCTATTAAAGAACTGTACCTCCTCAAAGGTTTTTGGGCTGGGGGAGTTACTAAGGATGGAAGGATGCATAACCAGGAACAAATACAAAGCTGTGGTACCTGGAAGACAAGAAAGATTTAGAGATTAATTAAATGAAAATAATAATTTCTTAGTATTGGCATTTCAAAGTAATCAATAAAGTCAATACTACAATGACCCAAAAAGATACATCATAAGCTCTGCTTGAATTAGTTATCCAGCCTTTTAAAAGAGGCAGATTCTAAAAATAGAGTATGATGTGAGGAGAATAGGTCTTTGGCGGGGTTTGGGAAAACTATCTTTTGCTCCCACCTCAACCATTGATTTGCTCTGTGACTTTGGTTTTTAGCTTCTCTTTTTCTAGTTTTCCTAGTGGGAAATCATTTGCTTTGTATATTTATAGGGTTTATCTGAGCATGAAAAGACGTAGTGTACCTGATAAGTAAAACAGTAAATAAATGAAATAAATCCAAAACTGATCCTTAGATTCTCTTATGAACTTCTTCCTCCTGAAGCTTTTGAAAGCTTATTAAACTCCAGGCAGAATTTGATCTTTCAACAAGTTTTTTTAAGTTTGAATGTACTTATATGCTTATAAATGGTAGTATCAAAAACTGTTTAAGTTACTAAATTTAAACAAAAAAATTGGTGCTTTTCCTTAGTGACATAAAAATTACATTTGTAACTATTAGGGAGCAAGGGTATGATAGTTTTTTAGAGTAAGTAATGTCAGAAATTATAAGATTAGTGTTTTGTAGCCTAACTTATGAGCCAAAGGGTATAGTTTAGTCAGAGTGCCACATAAGAAAGTACTGCAGTCCAGATTCAATTTGCCAAAGACTTAACCAGGCGCTTATGAGATCATACTGTAAAATACTTTTGGGCTATGGTCTATTTAGTACTTCTAAGACAGAAATATACCCTTGATTTTCCACATCTCCACCTTAATGAAATTTACACCGTTCTATAATCTGATGGAGCAGGAATTGGTAATTGTATTACAGGTCAATTGCTAGCAATGGTAATCAGACATGGCCTTATAATATTGCGCTGCTCTCACATGGATAAATTACTGTTCTAATTTTACTAAGTAGTAATGCCTTCTTGCCATCTTTATACATGTTTTTGTTTTCTTACTTTTCTGATAAGCTTTCTTTTGTACTGTAATTAAATCTACTATACCTATAAAACAGAAAAAAAAATTAAATAACCCTGTCAACAGCAATATTGCCTGCAAATGAATCGAAAGAGGCAGTGTTTCTAGATTATTTTTGAGCTAAACAATGAACAGTTTATCTATCGTCATGGATAACTATAGGACATGAAGCATAGTGATCTCTCTCGCTCTCTTTTTTTTTTTTTTTTTTAAGTAATCTCTTATATACAGAGGGAAATGGCCATTATAAGCTTTACTTACAACACTCTTTAGCGTGTCTTAGATTCATTTCAAGGGCTTGTTGTAACAGAGGCAGGTGGGCCCCTATTCCCAGAGACTGATTCAGCAGGTCTATGTCAGGCCAAGAATTTTCATTTCTAACAAGTTCCCAGCTGATGCTCTGGGCACCACACTTTGAGAACACTGACTTAGAAGAAATGTGGAAAAAATCTAAAACTTTTTGGGAGAAAATAAAACAAATAAACTCAACTTTTATTAATTGAAATCCACAGTAAAGTAATAAAAAGCATGGTCTTTGGTGTCAGGTACAATCCTAAGGTCAGTAGTTTTATTTCTAGTACTTACCCAGCTATGACAACTTGAACAAAATTTATTTACCTTTAATGAGTCTTAGTTTTCTTATCTGTGTAATGGGGAAGAAAATACTTAGCTATCAGGGTTTAAGAGGGTCAAAAAAAGATAACCTATGTTAAGGTACCTAAATAGTGCTCATCTTTCATATCTGAGTATTAGTAAGATTTAAAAAAAAAATAATGCTTTAATTAGATATAATTCAGTAAGGCATTTTTAAAACGGATAAGAACAAATCTTTGTGGGAAAAGGGTATGGACATTATAATGTGAAAAGAAAAAAACAAATTAATTTCTTCCTTAGATCAATTGAAATATTTTTCTAAATTTAACATTTAAGAATGGTATTAAATTATGTTATTTACTTTTAGTAGCCTTTCATGACTAGCATTAATCAGGCAAACAGGAAAGAATGGGTATGATCTAATTGCTTTGCATCGTCAGTAAAAGTCATAATGGAATTTATCAGTGGTCAAAAAACGACATAGTAATTTCTGAATTCTTTCTTTACCTACACATGGTTTTGGGTCTGAATAAACTGTCCTGCATATGTATTTTAACAGTAAATGGCACAGGCCCTGGCAATGTCCTAATCTGTCATTCATGGGGTCACCATGAGTCAGAACCATGGCAAGCCATTAACAAGAACAACAATTCAACTACATAATCAAAGACATGATACATTCAAATAACCATTGGTAAAGCTTCACATTTTCTATTTTTGTCAGTTTCAACACAAAAATATCTGAATATCTAGGTTAGTATAAGTCTATAAAAATTATGCATAAATATACTTTTGACAAAATTAAAGTTAAAAAATGAAACTAATTGTCATGAATATTGATACACAAAACCAAATGGATGAACAAACTATTGATACACACAACCAAATGGGTGAAGCTCATGAGCATTACGCTAAGTGAAAGAAGTCAAATATAAAATACTACCCACTGTATGATTTCATTTCTATGAAATTGTAGAAAGGACAAAATCATAGTGGCAGTGGAGTCTGAGTGGTACAAAGAGTAACACCCTCAAGCATTAACCAAAAGGTTGGGGGTTTGAGTCTACCCAAAGGAGTCTTGAGACAAAGACCTGGCAATCTATTCCAAAAAGTCACCTATTGAAAACCCTATGGAGCACATACATGGGGTTTCCATGAGTCGGAATTGACTCTATGGCAACTGGCTGGTTGGTTATAGTGGCAGAAAGCAGAACCATCAGTGGTTGCCTGTACCTGGCGGTGGGGGAGGGGATCTACTGCAAATGGCATAGAGAAACTTTTTAGGGTGACAGAGCTTTTCTGTATCTTGATTGCGGCAGTGGTTACCCACTGCATACAATTTCCAAAATATACCAAACTATACAATGAAAATGGTGAATTTTACTGCACATAAATTAATACCTCAATAAAGCTGGGAAAAATTCAATTTCTATAGGAAGAAGATTAATAAAAATCATTTCCAAAGTTAAATGTCACATAAAAGTTGTAACACAAACATTTGGAAACCCAATTTTGCTTAAGGTGACAATTAATTCTGCCATCTTACCATGATATTAAAAAAGGTCTGCATATTCAACACAATATGAGAGAAAGCATGTCCTGCAGGGCTTTCTGTAGCAAACCCAATACACGGACCATACCAAGCTTCAGAAAGAAGTTGTGACAAGTAATGTCAAGGCTATGGGATGGCAATGGGAGTTTGATGAAAAGACTAGTTTAAATATTTTTCCATTTGCCTCTCAACTTTAAATAAATAAAGGGACATGAAATAGATGTTGTTGTTGTTGTCGTTATGTGCCATCGAGTTGGACCTGACTCATAGCGATCCCTCCTTTGCTTTCCGAGGCAGTATCACTACGGAAGTAGATTGCCCCATCTTTCTTCTGAGGAGTGGCTGGTGGGTTGGAACCGCCAACCTTCTGGATAGCAGTCAAATGCCTTAGCCACTATGCTACCAGGTAAGAAAATATTTATCCTATTTATTATTGTTTTCAGATTGATATTTGCAAATGTGACAGATAGAAAATGAATGGGCTAAACTTTGTGCATTTTATATAGAATTCTTCCTAGTTATTTCTGAAGAGATGAGGAGAGGGGATGTATTCCCATTAGGAAGAGGTATGGTTGACATGGCTGTTTTCTGTGAGGCCAAAATCCAATCATTCAGGATGCAGCATGAATGTCCAGCATCTTAACACTTCCACTGGGCTTCATTTTAATACTGATTCTTACAGAAACAAGTTTATAGGGAAAAAAATTGCACACCAATTTAAGAAAAAAGTATGGAAGATTTCTCCTGGGTATGGATAAATACCTTTCTTAGCACAAAATTTTGTTTATGTCTGGGAATTGTGCTTGTCAGACATCTTCTAGACTGTTAAAAAAAATAGTCTTCTCTGCAAGCAATAGTTTAGAAATAAACCACATCAGGAAGATGAAAGCCTAAGGGACTCATTTTTCTGGAAGAGATTTTTTTTATAAAGAGTTGTAGGTATTTATATGTGTCCCTCTTGACTTCTGACAAAATCTTGTCAGCTGCTCTCTAAACACCTGATTAGTTTTGATTTTAGAAATGTCAGTAACAACAGTTTTCAATTAAGATCTTTGGGGAAAAAAATAGCATTTCTCACAGAATTTCCTGCTGAATACTCAAGCTGTGTGACATCTATTTTCAACTTTTTTCCTTAATTAAAAAATAAAACACTTTGTTAAATGCTTAAATATGTTATTGAACAAGGAAAGACTAAGTCAGAACACAAAATGTGTTGTTTGTTCATTAGCATTTCTAGGAAGTGTAAGAACTCATTTTGATAACTCATAGTTTAGTCATTAGGATTTTTATACTGGTTGGTTAATCAAGACATAAAAAGCACTCACCAGTTTTCTGGGGTCCTATTACCAAGAATTTTGGTAAGCGATCACAGGTTTTTTCTTTAGACCAAATATCTCTGTGGCGTTTGTCATCACAAGGATTCTAAATGCGAGAAAAATATAGACTTTTTTTTTTTTTTTTTTGGTGATGGTGTCCACTGTGTGCTAGAGTTTTCCAACTTCTGCCCTTAAAAGATATCCCAAGAAAGAAGGCTGTGTGGCTCCTTTTTAAAAATGAAAGCATTGATACGGCATCAAAGAAGCTTTCAAATAATTCCTTTCCATTCTGAAGTTGAGAGTCTACTGAGGAAGTGGCGGAGGGGAGGTGTTTCCACTACAGGTAAGCTACCTCATAGCACTGAGAGTTTCATATATTTTCTGCTACTAGTAGTTCTATGTCTTAATTTTTTTTTTTTTTTTTTAATAGTGAGCTTGCTGGGCAGAGACTATGTTTTCTGCTAACCTAAAAGAAGATAGACTCTCAGCGTTCAATAAATAAATGAAACATGAGGTATCAAATTTTTATTCTATGTAACTTTGAGCTTTCCTGCTGTGCCTCAAATGGCTATGGATCTGACCATAATAATGCTATTTAAAGAGACAGCTTATTCCTTTCAATTGTCTTCAAAGGTCAGTAAATGTATATCTAAAAATGTAACTATGGGCTGTGATGTTAAAAAGTCCTGGATTTTAGCAAAAGGGCAAAATGAGGGTGAATTATTACCTTAGGGATTCAGCTTTTGATCTATAGTACTTTAGCTGACGCATGCTGTGCAAGATATATCTAAAACCACCCTTAATTCTAACTGCAAAGTGTGTATTATGTAGAAAAGAGAATTACAGTACCCTTTACTACTATTTTCAGGAGTGGTCAGAAGGGACCACTTTCTACTTCTTTGCAATTAATACTGTACATATGTGTTGTTAAATAAACCTTCTGCTTATTTTCAATAAGCAACAGATACTAAGAATAAAAGTCTATCCTTTAAAAAATCAATTTGGCTACTGTCCTGGAAAAAAATTTGTTTCAACCGTGTTGCCTGAAATAATAATGATTTCAGTTTAAAAATAAGGTGTTAAATTAGCAGGAAAATTGCATATCTTTCCAGAAGCTCATATTGGTGGTATTTTGTGGTGGGTAAGATTAGAAGATCCTTAGTAAAATGACTAAAAAGTAACATGCAGTCCACATTCTGACTTTGCTAAAATGTGTAGTTATTTCCATCCTTGGGGTTATCTGTTTGTGCTCGGGAAGTAATTATCACACTGTTTAAAGATGAATTGAATGGCAACTCAGAATTTACTCCATATTAATCTGTTAAATTTACTCAGTTCTACTGAAAATTGTTATTGTTTTACCACCAACTCTATCAATGACTCTCCTGGAGCATTTTGCACAGGCATTAAGAGCACAGCCTCTAGAGCCAGATGGTCTGGGATTGATTCCCAATTTTACTATACAATCCCTGTGTGACCTTGTTCAAGTGGTTCACCCTTTTTGTGCCTCAGCTTCTTCATCTGTAGAATGGGAATAACACTGGTTCCTACCACATAGGGTAGTGGTGAGGATTAAACAAATTAGCATACTATGGGTCATACTATGTCTGACCCATAGTAAATACTGTGTAAGTACTTGCTAAGAATATTACTTTCCTCAGATCATGGAGTGGAAATTAAAATTCAAAGTATGTTTCTGAACTTCTAAGGACACATAAGAGCCTATCCTTTGAAATCTGGGGCAACCCTAGAGTACTCTGAATATGCCCAATTTTTTTTGGTGATAATTTAATCTTAAGAAGTTTAATCTTTTTACCATGAAACACTTCCTCTATGTTCAATATAATACCCAATTTGTACTTTCAAAAGCTGCTCACATTCTTCTGCTCACGTGGTTACTATCGATTCTGAATTCTCTCACCCTTCTGTCTAATGTAGTTTAGGTATTAGAAATATGGGGAAGTGCTCAAGGCATACCTGCCTAACATACATGCTGCTGTCTTCTACTCTCTCAGCCTATTAACAGACTGCAATTTGATCTTTTATTCCTTATTGAAAATAATATATCCACTGGATCCCTCACTGAACTTTAAAATTCTATAATTTCTAATGAACATGAGAACAGCAAATCTGGCTCAATTTGTTGCACTAATATAAGACTAATATAATTCAGTAAGAAGTAGTTTTTCAAATCTACTAACATTTCTGAAATGTGAATTTTTTAAAAGATGCTTTAGGTTTTCTGACTTGGATTATCTCACAGAACCACTTATACCAAATTATTGATCCAATCTTACCTGCCAGAGAGGGTCTTTCTGCTCAGGGAAGAGCTCAAAGTATTTATGGGCCAGCTGCAGTGGAGGCAGAGTCTGAAGACGCAGGTTGGTCCAGCTCTGCACAAAGTTGGCCAGATTGACAAATGTGTATAACCCCAGTCGGTCATTCCCATAGTTAGACAAATGGGTCATGAAAATGCTGATCTGAAAAGGGCAAAGATAAACAGTAGTGTGGACACAACTTGTTTTAACATTATTGTTGTTGTTGTTATGTGTTGTTGAGTCAGACCCGACTCATAGCAACCCCTCCTTGGGTTTCTGAGGCAGTATCACTATGGAAGTAGATTGCCCCATCTTCCTTCTGAGGAGTGGCAGGTAGATTTGAACCGCCAGCCTTCTGGTTAGCAGTCAAGTGCCTTAGACACTATGCTACCAGAGCTCCCTTGGAGAGTGCAATCATAGCAAGGGTAGTTTTTTTTTTTTTTTTAAAGAAGCTTGCACAGGGCTTCAATTTTGGACATATCTCAAGTACTCTCATATTAGAGAATGTATATTTAGCAAGATCTGATCAGCATTTTTTTTTCTTGAAATTTTAATATATTTTATAATAAAAAGAAGTCCAAGATCTATTAGCTGCCATATACTGACACTAGGGAGCTCTGGAAGCATAGTGCTTAAGGCACTTGACTGCTAACCAGAAGGCTGGCAGTTCAAACCCAGCAGCCACTCCTCAGAAGGAAGGTTACGCACTCTACTTCCGTAGTGATGCTGCCTTGGAAACCCAAGGAGGGGTCGCTATGAGTTGGGTCCAACTCAACAGCAGATAACAACAACAACAGTGTAACTAGACTGCATCTGAATAACATGTCCTAGAGGTTTTTCTAGGTGGTGCAAACAGTTTTCCCACAACTATTAACCTAAAGATTGGCACTTTGAACCTACCCAGTGGTACCATGGAAGAAAGACCTGGCAATCTGCTTTTGTTGAAATTACAGTCAAGAAAACCCTGTGGAACAGTTTACTCTGCAACACATGGGGCTGCCATGAGTCACAATTTTCTCAATGACAACTGACGACAACAACAATGTCAACACATAATGGCTTCATGATATGTGGAATATTCATTCGAAGTAGCATCCCAGGAAATTCTAATTTTAATTTCAGTCTACTTAATTCAGCTTGTAATGGAGCCCTTAAAGAATCAATGAATTGTCATTATTAACATTATCTGAGTGACCTCTGGTTTGCATCTATTAGAGGCCACAATGACAACAGGCTGGTGCCTGAGTTTTTACTAAAATAACTATTAACCATCTTCCATTAAGAACAACTTCAAGACTTTTTTCCATAACATTGCGTCTACTGTTTCCAATATATATACAAATAGTAAAATATATGTTATATATAATATATATATTGATGTGGTACAAATGATTAATGCACTTGGATTCCAACTGAATGGTTGGCAGCTCAAGTCCACTCAGAGGTGCCTTGAAAGAAAGGCCTGGCAATCTACTTCCAAAAATACCAGTCTTTGGAAATCTTGAGGAGCATAGTTATACTCTGGCACACGTGGGATTGCCCTAAGTGAGAATCAACTCCATGGCAAATGGTTTTATTTTTCCCAGTATCTTATATCTCCTTTAAAAATAGTCTTCAATGCTTGGGCAGATGAAATTGACTCTTCCTATGGAAGCAGTTGACTTAGATTCCATTCATGCTTTGAAACAAAATTATAGCAAATGTGGGGAACTTCTCATAGTGAAACAAATTTCAGTTATGAACATTGGATTAAATCAGTCTTGGATGTACACTGTGCATTTTTAAAACTACTGCTTTAAGTAAATGCAAATCGTTTTTGTTGGTTAGATGTTGACAAATGGGAATAATACTTCTGCGTGAGATTTTTCAATGTCAAAGAAAACCATTGTGGCATTTATGCTACTATGGAAAAGAACCATAAAAAATAATTCATGTTATAATAGCACTTTCCTAAAATATATAATGTCATGGGAATGAATAGTAATAATGGTCATTATAATCGTCATCATAATGAATACAAAAGGTTCATTTATTAAGTGGCTGAAAGAATTATTAAATAAAATTCAATGAAGTAAAGTGGTAGAGATGACAGAAAAGGTTATATTAAGATTTGAAATAATGAATCAGAAAAAAAATATAATTACAACTACGAATAAAAGAAATAGTAATAGCCTATGTTCTATGGAACAAATCCTTCAGGGCTTTCCCGTGAAAAGCTTCAATGGTGATCAAGAGTATTTAACTGTGTTTCTAATCACTCTGCCTGAACATACGTTAAATATTAGAACTTTCACAAACAGGATACTTTGAGGGTAATTTTAAGAAGCTACCAGCAGAATGGTACAGTAACAGATTTGATAAGTAAGACTTAACATTTTAGGTCTTTCCAAAAAATGAGACTTGAAATTCCACCTTCTGGTTACATCCTACAGTCATTTCAGTTCTGTAACTTATTTATTTTTTTACCCACACCTCTTTTCCTCCTCCAAAGTTTATCAAAACAGTATGTGATTGAGAAACTTATAAAAATCAAACTTAAATTTAGTTCTTTTATATTGGCTGTTAGAGGCAGTCTTTTTTTATGTGCCACTTTTACATTTTTTTTTTAGTGTAGCAGAATTTTTCTAGATTTCTCTCTCTTAAAAGAAAAACTTTAATATACTGTAAAAATATATATAAATACACACACACGCACATGTATTATTTTTTTCTTAACCTGGTTAGTCAAACTAATTAAAATTTCTCGATTTTAATGAAGGATTTATAAATGCATGTGTGCTTACCTTCCATGTGAATAAGATCTCCACTGGAAAGAAAACAGAAAACTTAGAGATCCTGTGTGACTTTGTGATACTAATATATTTGACCTTCTTGTGAATTCTCTTTTCAACCTTGGGAAACATTTTATTCTGTGACAATCAAAGCACAGTTTTACTGTATGACTGTGAAAAATGCACTGGCACTGAGTCGATTCTGACTCATAGTGACTCCGTAGGACAGAGTAGAACTGCCCCATAGAGTTTTCAAGACTGTAAATTGTCAGTGGTTGGTGGGTTCGAACTGCTGATCTTTGGGTTAATAGCCAAATGGCTTGAACTTGCACAGCATGACTACAGAAAGTAAAAAATGCCACATTCTCTGGTAAAGGTAGAGGCAACCCTAAATGAGTTATGAGCTAGTTAATGACATTGCTTTTGCTGAAACTAAACCTGATTTACAAGGATCACAGTGATTCTTTCAAGGGATTGAATTTACCACTGTTAAGGAAAAGTTACTTAGCCTGCAAACATGGAACCTTTCTTGGGTTTTGAATTCTGTTTTTGCATGTCCACTTTACCATAATGCAAAGTGCACAATAAGCAAAAAGACTGTTTCAAAATACGTTTTTTTTTCTTTCCTAATGCATGCTACCTCATGTGACTTTTAAACTTGAGACTCAAGGCTGAGATTTAAGGAACTCTGGTAGGTGTAGTCATTAAGGCATTTGGGTGCTAACCAAAAGATCGGTGGTTCATGAAACCCATCGGCCTCTCCATGGAGGAATAATGAAGGCAGTCTTCTTTGATGACAGTGAGTTTAAAGATAGACAAAGCCAAGGGGAGCAAAATTCATCAGGACATAAAACACTTCAATTTCTTTGAAAACTATTTCTTTTAATGATATACAAGATTCTCCCTTAACATGAAATATTACATATCTGTTGTTTAATATGTAGCCTCAAGCATTCTTTATTATTTTTAAGTTATGAAACTATGTATAACAGGCTACAGGGCTGGTGAGAATATATAACTGGAATGTTTCAAGCATTATTTCCATGTCCCTATTTTGACCTACGATATTTATAATGCCACTCTATCTCTTGGCAATTCTTTACCTGACATCACTTT